CACTCTCTGCAATGCAGAGATGATGTTGGGGGAACTAGCTTTTAAGCCGGCTTCCCCCAGCACCAGCTCCTGCTTTCCTCCCCATTCTTTCTGCCTCTGATATAGACGCAGCAAAGGAGCAGGAGAGGAATGCAAGTAGTTGACTCAACTAATCAACTACTCTTTTACATCCCTCCTTGAAAGGTGGCTTTATATGTTACACAAAAGCCAGAACTACACTAGGAATTTACTTTGCTTTAGCTATGTCTTTTAGGCATGTGAAAAATCAACTCCCCTGTGATATACAGCTATACTGCCCTAACCCCTGATGTGGATCAGCACTAGGTCTACAGAATGCTCCCATTAACCTAGCTATCACCTCTTGGAGAGGTGGATTGCCTATGCCAATGGATAGGGTGGTGGAGAAACTTGCCTGGCCGCTGGGCAAGGTGTTTGGGGCCTATATTTATCCCTTAGGAAGGGACCTTCCCCAGCCAGCCCTTCAAGGGTGCCCAGAGTGTGATGTGTAGGGCTCTGGCAGCAATTTAAATGGCCTGGGGCTCCAGCCATTACCAATTCTGCATTTGTGGCAGAGGCCAGGAGTCTTGGGCCTTTTTAAATTGCCAGGCCCCACAGCAGCTGACCACTTTGCCCCCCCTATTTGGTGGCTCTGCTAGTAGAAGAACACTTCCTGGTGGTGTACATAATGTCTTCACTGAAGCGCTACAATGTCATAGCTGCAGCTTTTAAAGTGTAGACAAACCTCAAGGTAAAAGGAAACTAAAATGAACTAACATAAAATAATATACTCGAGTACAGTAAAAGGGTTCCATTATTGGTTTGGGATGTTGACATTCCAGCCATTCACTTCACATGTGATAAGTGGACCAGTAAAGTTCAGGAACCACTGTTCTAGAGTAATCCCCATGCCCTGGCTTCAACCAATTTTATCAGCAATAAATACATATAGTCCAATAAGAAATCCAAGTAATCATCTTCACCAACCCTGATTTTTCATTGGTTTCCAAATAAAAAGTAGTAATCATCCAGTATACCAATAATTCATTAGAGTACTTGAACTCAAAATAGTAGGCATCATGGTGATGGCTGATCAGTAACATCACAGTGTCTGTTTCTATGTTAAAAAGGAAGGTTATGTGTACCTAAAAAGTATAATCTATTTAAACTGTATTTCTAGCAAGTATTCCTGTCCTATGTCCAAGCAGATGTGTGTTGTTAAATCATTCTGCTGCAAAGAGTTGTAGTGTGAGCAGAAAGACACCAGATGCCAAGTGTTGCAGTAGAGAGCTAGAGAACAGATTCCTATACCTGGAAGTCTCTCATTTAAGTTCTTCCTACCACATGTCCTGATCCCCTCTGGGAACTGGAAAAGCAAGAACTCTATAAATTCAGCTTAGCTCTGTAAGAGTTTACCCTTGGTCTGGCCCAGTGTTCTCATGTCAATGATTTGGATTCAGAGGCCTATATCCATAATGAGATTAAGTTGGTATAGCTCTATTGCCTTTAGCTGACTGATGCAGATCTACTCCTGCTGAGAATCTGACCCTTAGAGTAATGTTGCATCTCTTGAAGGAGCTACACACCCAGACCTCTACTGGCAGATGGAACATCTATATGGCTATGTCTGTACTGTGTTTCAATGTGGACAACAGGCATGGGAATTGTAGAGAGAACCAAATTGTTTGTGTTCTGCCCCATGTGGAGGCTAGAAGGTACTTAGTTCATGTTAACATGGTCCTCTTTCAAACATGCCTAGGTATGCACTCAGCATCTATGCAGGTCAGTTAGATCACAGGATGCCAGTGTGTGCTGCATTTCATACCCTTATGATCCAAATTGTGGGGTTGCTTAGATATGTCTTAAGAATAGATACAGTTGGTTAGAGAGGTAGCAAACTGATTTTAATGTTTCTATGTGGTTGTGCCCTGTCTCTTGTTTCACAGCAGGAACAAGTTGAGTTAAATCGTCTCTTTGAAAAATATGTACCATACCTTATTGATATGATTGTAGAAGGAATTGTGGATGGCAAGCAAGGAGAGAAACTGAAAACCATTGTTCCCCAAACAGATTTAAATATGGTAAGATATAAAGAGTATTGATTAAGAGTGCTTCTAAAGAAGAGGAATCTGACAGAGGGAGATTCCTATGAATCTATAGTAAGCCAATGTCAGAAGTGAAACCTAAGTGTTCTTCTTCAAGGAGTGTCCACTGTACATTTTTCAGCACCTCTGCACTTGTAATCAGAAATTTTTGGCAGCAGTATTCCCGCCAGGTACTAGCGCGCACGTGAGGCATCGCTTGTTACATAGCGAGTGTGTCAATGTGTTCATGCCATCAACCGTTGCCTCAGTTCCTTCTCAGCCACTCCTGCTTCGGTCAGAACAGAACGGTGCTCCACGATAGAATAACTAGAGTTGATAGATTTGTGTTAGTTATTAGCGTAGAGCAGGGCTATTCAATTTTGGAAGCTCTGGGAGCCACAATGATACTCACAGCATGTGCCGAGGGCTGCAACTTAAGTGTAATTTCATATATATGCCAATAGCTTCTTTCACACTGATGAGCATGAATACAAAGATTAAGGCAAGACTACACAACACGCAGGTTCCATTTAAGTCAGTCCTGCTGATATTAATAAAATGCAGTATTTACCCAATTTCTACCTATCTGACATCACTTTTAATGAGCAACGACAGTCCAGGAATTTAATTACTAAAACATATATCAACAGAAGACCATCATATTGACTACTTTTTTGTTTTGACTTCACAATTTTAACAAATCAAACACAAACTACCAATACAGTACCGGAATACAAGTACACTCAATGTGAAGATAGTGTCTGCAAATTTTCACCAGTTGTTTCACATAAGGCTTGTATTCCATTGTGGCAGTACGGAAATAGTTGGTCAGATGTCTGTTAAGAGAGGTGTGCAGTTTTGACATGATGATTCCATGGAGGAGAACGAACTTTCACAGACGTATGTAGACCCAAAGCAAGTTAGCACTTTTTTGGCACATTTCAGTAATGAAAGTACATGTCTTCCTGTACATAGATCACCTAAAATGTTTTAGTGTCCTCTTCCTTATGCCTTGCTTTTAGAATAATATTGTTTTGCAGTTCTATCATCTCTTCTTCAAATGTGGTCCTCTCAACATCAGATCTCAATGCTGAAGATGAGATTGCCTTTACGTCAACTGAAAATGGATTTTCAGTAAGTTCAAGAACTGTCTTCAGAAATTTGACATCTACAAAATGAGAAGAAAATTCAGTTTTCAGCTCTGAGATGTGCTCCATTAAAAAAATCAGTTAAAAAAGATGCATGTTCACTTAGCTGTGTTACTTGCTAGTTGAGGATGGGAAAATGAGTTATATCTTTCACATGAAACTGATCTGCAAAAAGGGCCAGTTTTGTTTTAAATGCAGAAACCTCACATCAGAGAAGGCAGATTTTTTTCTTTGCCTTGAAGTTTATTAAGTGAGGTGTCATCAGTGAGAAAAGCCACATTTGGCAGGAATGTCTCTTTGTCTAAACATGACAGTAAATCCTGGTGATCCTTTGCCTCCAAAAACACTCGTACAGCAGGCAGTAGTTCCATAAATGGATGTAACGCTTTGCCTTGACTCAGCCATCTAACTTCTGCAAGAATTGCTAAGTTACCATACTGTGTTTTGTACACCTCAACTAAAGCTTGAAATGGTCTATGTTTCAAGGCATTTGCAACAATGAAGTTGATGATTTTTGTGACACTATCCATTGTGCTCTTGAGAAATCCTCTCTTTGGTTTGCAGCACTACCGTTCTTGGTGCAGAATGGAATGGCAAGAAAAGAAATCTGGAAACTGGATTTTTCTTCAGTAAAGAAATTAGCTTCTTCTCTTTTCCAACCATGGAGGGAGCGCCATCAGTTGTTACCGAAGTAAGCTTTTTCAAATCAGTGGATTTTCCTGTCCTTCAAAAAATGCCATCAGTGCAGAATAAACGTCCTCTTCCATAGTATGACCCATCAAAGGTAGCAGAGTAAGCATTTCTTCTACATATTTTTTGCCATTGAAAAAATGCACTCTGATTATGACCTGAGATATGTCTGAATGATCAGTAAATTCGTCTGTTGCCAGACTGAAATACTCAGTGCTTTCAGTCTTTTAGCAATTTAGAAAATAGATCACCTGAAATGCTTTCAATTTGTCTTATTACAGTTGAATCCGACACTTGCAGTTTTGATATTTGTTTAACCATATCCTCTTTGTTTTAAAATTCTGCAAAAAGTGATTTGCTGCAGTCCAAGAAGCACTGCTTCATCAATTCACCTTCAGTAAAAGGTCTTTTTGATTTAGTTATATGCCAAGCCATTTTGAAGGAGGCTTCTGCAACAGCATCGCTGGAACATAACAGTAACCTTCCAGTAAGGAACGTATCTTAGTTTTTCTTAAATTGCTGACAGGTGGATACAAGTCTTGGAACTCAGGGTGACAAGAATCATGGTACCATTGCAGGTTTGTTTTCTTTAACTCGGCGATAATCTTTTGACGAAGACACATTGATTTTTCCATTTATCTCTGCAAAAGCAAATTTGATCTCCCAAACAAGGTTGAAAACACTGTGTTCATCCAACATCTCTTCTTTATTGCCATTTTTAATGCTTCCTATTAAAAACAAAATTGTAATACCAGTGTTTTGGGTGTTTAGCTTGAAGCTTCAGGTTGTGCGTTTCTTGGAGTGATTTTACTGTAAAAAGAAAAGTTGACTTCTTTGACTGGTCCTCATGGGTGCTCCACTGTAGGTGTCGGGCTCGTCCCGGCACCGCAGCTCAGAGATTTTCAATAGCTATAATCAGCCAGGCTGCACATGTGCGATTAGCAGCTTGCGCCATTCGTGCCCTTTGATTGTTGCGCGCGGCCTGGCTCCTGCCAGTTCCTTTCAACCTATATAAGTTAGTTAGTTCAACATAGTTTATTTCATAGTTTTAATTACAAAAAAAAAGGAAAAAAAAAAAGAGAAAGGAAGAAAACTGTTTCATTACTGTTCGTGGTTTTGCCGCTCTCCCCCCCCTTTCTTGCTGAAGTAGCGGCATCTTGCCAAATTAAAAAAGACAGAGAAAAGAAAAATAAGAAAAGGAAGACTTACGATCTGGTGAACGTGATGCCTGGATCACCAGGTTTTAAGAAATGTGCCCTTTGCCACAAGGCTATGTCAGGCCTCTGATGGCCATTCTGCTTGCATAAGGTGCTTGGGAGAGATGCATATTCCCCAAAAGTGTGCCCATTGCTACAGGCTCGCAGCTGGAGCCCACAGTGATAAGGAAATGCGCCTGAAGATGTTACTCTTTGACAAGGAGCTTCAACTGGACATTCCAGCATCAGGCCCTCAAAGGGCAGTGTCACACAAGCGCAGGTGCACAAAGACCCGGTACTGCAGCGCATGCAGCCCTTGGCAGTGTCATTGCTGGTCTTCCTGCCACCTAGACCATTGATCACTCAGCAAAATTTAGCGGTAACATTGGTACCAGTCACACCACTCTTCGGTACCGATGCAACACCATTGTCAGTGGGGCCCAGCAGATTAGCCACTCCTGCAAGCTCAGTACCTTGCTTCTCTAGTGACAGTGAGGATGAACAAGACGTACCGTTTTCTCCACACCATTCCTCACCTAAACCAATGGCACAGGCTCAGCAACAGATTGTCCAGACACAGATGGATAACCTTTTCCCTTGGCTCCTCCCCATCCCACTCCCATAGCCATGGCAAGGTTGAGATCTATGGGGCACATTCAAAACCCAGGTACCACTTCCAGTGATGCCATAGCCACAACAAATGGCTCTTAACCTCCCTCTGTCACCTGCATCTGAGATAACGCAGGAGGACATTGAGAACCAGGAGGACGAGATGCTTCCTCCATCTCACATCTCTTCATCCTCCCTGGATTAGTTTATTATGCCACCCCCACCCAGCGTAGATGATGATTTCAGATTATTGACAGGATCTATACAAGAAAGTCACAGACTTGCTCAACATTTCTCTGGTTGAGGTCGCAGATGTGCAACATAAACTGTCAGACATATTGCAGGCCTTTTCTCAGACAAGATAGCATTACCAGACAAGGAAGCCATCCTTGATCCTGTCAAGATCATGTGGTAAACTCTTGCTTCTATTCTGCCCGTATCCAATAGGGTGGATTGAAAATATTATGTGCCAGGAAAAGCAGCCAAGTTTCTTCTCTCACAGTTCCTAATTGTCAGGGTAGTTAAACACTGGAATAAATTGCCCAGGGAGGTTGTGGAATCCCCATTTCTGGAGATATTTAAGAGTAGGTTAGATAAATGTCTATCAGGGATGGTCTTGACAGTATTTGGTCCTGTCATGAGGGCAGGGGACTAGACTTGATGACCTCTCAAGGTACCTTCCAGTCCTAGTATTCTATGATTCTATGATCCCACCCCAAACTCTCTGGTGGTTGATGCAGCAAATACCCAGAGGAAACAAACACAATTCTTGTCAACCCCTTACAGCAAAAATTGGAAAAGACTAGACCTTCTTGGCAGGAAATCATACTCCTCTGACTCCCTTTTAATTAGAATTGTGAATTACTCTACTTTCCTGGCAAAATATACATACAACCATTTTGAGAAGATGAGGTTTTTATTGATAAACTACAAAAAGAGGATAAGGCAGCCTCTGAATCGAATATCAACGGGGCATCTTGATAGCAAAACCGCCTCCAGGCTTCCCTTGACATGGCCGACACAGCTTCGAGGTCTCTCGCCATGTTGGTAGTCATGCTAAGGATCTTTTGGCTCCATTTGTCAGGCTTCCCTAGAGAATTACAAAACACCATTGTAGACCTGTCATTTGAGAGTCAGAAACTATCCTCTGACAATACTGACCCTTCACTCCATTCTCTAAAAGACTCGAAGGCAACCCTCAAAATTCTTGGTATGTACATCCCCCAACAGAAGAAAAAAGTCAACTGAATGTATATTCTTGGAAGAGCAGCATCCTATCCATTCCAGAGACTGAACAACATGAGGTGCCACCAGAAACAACAGAAGCAGGGACAGCCACAAGATCAGCAAACTACACCCCAGTCCGCCAATGGCAGTCAGACATTTTGAACCTCTGATCAGGGGGTTTGTTTTTGTTTCTTCATACCAGCAACTACAGATTCAGCCTACAAACTTTTTACAACATCTGGGCTGCAATAACAATGGACAAGTGGGCCCTAGAGGTTCTGGACAAAGGCCTACCAGTCCCATTCACCAAATTTCCACCAACCCATTACTCTTGAGTTATGAGCTGTAAGAAGAGCATGAAAAAACTTTCTCCCTCTAATTCAGGGCAAGGCAGTCAGGGTATATACAGACAACACTGCCTTCATGTTCTACATAAACCGATAGGGTGGGGCCAGGCCACATCAGCTGTGGAACGAAGTGGTTGCCCTATGGACATATCCACGGTATATCTCCCAGGCAAAAAAAATGTTACAGGACTAGCTGAGTTGTTATTTTTACCAGAAGCACAAGTGGGAGATACACCCACAAGTCCTGATTTCCATCTTCCGCATGTGAGGCTTTGCGGAAATAGACTCATTCCCAACATCACTCAACTTCAAATGTCCCAAGTATGACTTCAGGGCGGGCCTGGGCAGGAAGGATGATGCCATTATCAGTAACTGATCTCACAGCCTACTGTATGTCTTTTCACCCCTTCTCCTCATAGGGAAGGTCATTCACAAGATAAAGCACAATCAGGCAAAGGTGATCATGATAGCACCTGCATGGCCCAGACAGATATGGTTCCCTTATGTGTAGCAGATGTCTGTTGCTCCTCGGATTCCTCTTACTCCATGGCCAAACTTAGTATTCCAGGCCCAGGGCTGGGTTCTGCATTCAAAGGCTCATAAGCTTAATCTGACAGCATGGCTCCTTCATGGTTAACAGTGCAACCCTTCACCTTCATGGAAGAAGTACAAAACATAATTCTTAATTGCCATAAACAGAGCACAAGGAAAACCTACCTGTGCAAATGGCTGTATTTTTCCTGATGGACTACCTATGCAGCAGTGTTTCTCAACCTTTTTTTATAATGTACACCCTTTAAAAAATAATGTATAAGTACCCCCAGTACCTACAGTTTTCAGGCACACACAATTTTTTTCTACCATTTCAACACATTTGTTTAAACACCATAATCATAGCTGGGTGGGCGATTAAATTTTTGCTGCCAATTAGGGCCTGGGGTGGGAGGAAGCAGCATGAAGTTTCCTCCACCCTTCCAGGAGGAGACTTTGCGTGCTCCCTAGCCCCCAAACCCTGATTTGCTTGGGGACAGGGGAGTACATGAAGCCTCCTTCCAGCGCCAGGGGATTGGGTGCCTAAGGGGAACCTTGGGGGTGGGGGCAAAGGTGTTCCCCCACCTGCAGACCAATCAAAAATTTCTGAAGTGGCCCCCAGCAAAAAATTATTGCCCACCCCTGGGCTAAGGGTACTGCTCCACAGTGACCTACAGTGGAGCACCTACAGGGACACTCCTCGAAGAAGAAGAAGAAGAAGAAAGAGGTTACTCACCTTGTGTAGTAACTGATGTTCTTTGAGATGGGTTTCCCTGTGGGCACTTCACAACCTGTCCTTCCCCTTATGCTTTGGAGCTTTAACATTTCTCAGCTGTAAAGAAGGAACTAAGGCAATGATTGATGGTGTGCACAGGTTGGCATGCTTGCTATATCATGGGCAGGGCTGCACATGTGCACCAGTACCCAGGGGAATAGTGTCCCAAAAAGTCCTGATTAGAAGCACAGGAGAACCAAAACACCTACAGTGCAGTACCCAGGGGACACCCATCTTGAAGAACACCAGTTACTGCACATGGTGAGTAACCTCTCTTTTCCTCAGTATGGCCATTAGACAAAGTATGCCTTTATTCCCACTGTAATAAAGACAGTTAGCTGCTAACACTATTCTTTAACTTTAATGAATACCCATATTAGTAGACACACACCTATATGCACACAACTAATCACAACACACTTGAACATAGTGCCCTTCCCCAAAAGTGTGAAAAGAAAAGGGAATCCATAATAAAAATCATCATAATTCTGAACTTCATCTGCAGTTGTTGTTTCTCAATTTTCTACCACAGATTATGCAGTTGACTATGATGCTGGAAGCCATAGTAGTTCTGGAACCCGATGATCCTGATGTTCTGGAGTGCTACTTTCTGGAAGCTTTGTACTCTTCTTTGGGTGCTACCCTCCTTGATGCCGGAAGAATTAAATTTGATGAATGTATTAAACGTATTTCCTCAATGTCAACTGTTCAAGATGAAAATGTCATGGCTAAGCCTGGGGAACTGCCGGGTAGGATTTTGTTATTTATAATTTAGTCTGGGGCACTTCCCTTATTTTAAAAGAAAAGAGTGGTGATGTAGTGAGATATGCCTGTATCAAACCGTTTGTCTTTTGTGTTATATGAAGGATATTAGAGAGACAAGTTGGGTGAGGTTATATTTTTTATTGGACCAACTTCTGTTGGTGGAAGACACAAGCGTTTGAGTTTACACAGAGTTCTGCCTCAGATCTGGAAAATGTCCTGAGCGCCACAACTAAATACAAGATGCATTGAACATTATGTCTAAACTTGCCTGAAGGCAGCATGTTTTCTGCATTCCAGACATCTGCCTTGCACTGGAAAGGTGTTTTCAACACCTCTTTGAAGGATTGTCTATGAAGGCCATCTGCTGCTATTAACTTTGAGTGACTTTCAAGTACTCACACGCTGAGAACAATTCCACCCAGGGGAGGTTTGCCCAGTCAGTAAGCACTGTGGAAAATAAACACAAAGCTGCTCCTGAGACGCCCCATACAAGTCCTGGAATAATGGTATTCTGGGGTCTCAAGTACAAACGGCATATCAGGGAGGCCTCAGCACTCTGATGCAGAGATTCTAGGCGACACTCTCTGTGATTGTAGCAAGTCAGGAGAGATAGCCATAATGTAGACATGTTGGTTCCAGGCTATTATAGACAGAGAGGGTGAGTGAGGTTATATCATTTACTGAGCCAACTAAGTTTCGAGCTTCTTGAGAGATCCCTGAAGCAGAGCTCTGTATAAACTCGAAAGCTTCTCTTTCTCGGCAGCAGAAGTTGGTTCAGTAAAAGATATTAGCTCATCCATTTGTTTCTCAGGTGATTTAAACAAGTCTTCAGGGCCTTTCTAGCACCTAGATTAATCCAAGATTTGGAGGGCACCAAAGTTACTTTAAGATACATGGGAAACTTGCCCGGGTTGTAAGTTCTGTGCTGCACCTCTGTCAAGGCTGTTCCCCAGTCTGGCACAATGAATGCAGAAGTGGGGGCCCACAAGTACTCCAAAACCCCTCCTTTATAGGCTCTGGTACAAAAATCCTCCCAAGAAAACCAGGGAAGAGATCCCCCTGCCCCAACCTTTGTTTTGCTTGGAGTTGAGAAAAACAGAGGGGATTCAGACAACAATGGACTCTGCCCTTGTAACTAGGTGCTGAGTCCTAAGGACACAATAATCAACCAATCCCGGTTAATTAGAAGAGACAACAATCCTTTATTATCAAAACAAAACTACAGTTGCAAGCATAGTAAAGTGGCTAGATGGAAAGAACTATAGATACTCAGGGAAACCCCCAGGGCTAAAACTTAGTTACAAAGAAAAAAACCCACAGTTAACAGCTCAGACAATATTTCCAAATCCCCAAATCAGTAAAACAACGAATCCTGATGGACTATCTAAACTTTTCCCTACTTACACATTTTAAGAAGTCTGTTCTTGGAGAGAGAAGTGTCTCCCATCTCCCTCAGTCTTGGAAGAAACTGCTCTGCCTCTCAGACAAAGAACAGAGATATAAAAACTCTTCTTTTTCAGTTTGAAATTCCTACTTGCATTGTTATTGGCTGACCAACTGATACCTGGCTAGATACAGGAGGCATTAGTTAACTTCTTAATCACTAGGGTTGCCAGGTGTCCGGTATTGAACTGGACAGTCTGTTATTTTCACATCCTTTCTGGTAAAATATTCAGAAAATGCTGGACACTTTAAATGCTGACTGGGGAGCTGGGAACTGTCCAACCTGGCGCAGGGACAGTCAGGTCGTTGGCAGCCTGTTAGGGCCAAAAAGTCTCGCCACTCTTTTTTTTTTTTTTCTCAACAAACTTTTTCCTGGAGTGTGTTTGTTGTTGTTTGTTGTTGTTGTTCTTGGGTATTTTTTCTGAAACCGTCTGGTAACCCTATTAATCACCAGGTCAGCACTCCTGATTATGACAACCTCTTAGCACAAAGTCTTACTCTGCACATTTATCTTACTCAAATGATGTTTTTCCTGAAATATTTCAATGTCCGTGTTACAGGGGCGTCCTTGTGCCCGGGACACCCCTTGCTGGTCCTCCCAAAGTACAGCTTCTACTGTTAGAACAAGTACAGCCTCACAGGCCTAGTCCCAAAGTCTACTTCACCCCTACTGGGGTAAATACGGCCACTCTGGCCTAGTCCCAATGTACAGTTCACCCCACTAGGGTAAATACGGCAACTCTGGCCTAGTTAACAGGTAAGCCTCCCAAGAGCCTGGAAGCAGTGTTATTGCGGGGTTGGTGGGATAGTACGGGGACCCGGGCCCTCCCTCTCCACCAGGTCCCAGCCCAGGGCCCTGTTAACAGTGGAAGATTCCACAGCCAGCTCAGTGGGGTTTCCAGCCACAGCATGCTGAGCTCCTGGAGAGCAATCCTCTGCCTAGGGCTACTTCCTACCATTCCTCGTGGGCCGTGTGGACCTCATGGGTTTGGTCAGTGAGTTAAAGTCCCATGGACGGTCTTGCTGACTAGGGTTACTGTGGAGGCTGGGGTGGTTGATCCTGGGGTGGCTGTGGCTACAACTGCTCATGAGCTTGGTCCTGAGCTCCTTCTCCCCCTGCCTCAACTGACCTGAGTAGCTCTTTTTTAATCCTAGAGCAGCCAGAGCATGCCCAGTAAGCTAAAGGGGGTGTGGCCTCCCCTGCCCTCTGTATTTGGTTAACCCCCTCCTAAACAGTGCAGGGGGGATACACCCTGTCACAGTTCCTGATGATCTTCAGTTATTGAATAAGAATCACATTGTGTATTGCAGGCCAGCTTCCAACTTTGTATGACTTTCATTTTGATGGATATCAAAAAAAGTGGGTACCTTGGAGCCAACTAGTCCCTCAATACTTTCATAAATTTGATGTGAGATTTATTGACATTCTTGGTAAGTGTTGGTATCCTATAATCCAAAACATGTTTTCTATAGCCATCTAGTAGTAAATAACTTGTGCGGTACAGGATTCTGTTGTGGGAGGTTTCATTCAGGAACTGAAAATGAACGACAATGCAAAAAATTTATTTTACTGCTCCTTTGTGACACATAAAAATAGCCATAAAGTTACTGGAAGAGGGTTTTCTTTCCCATTAGAAATATTAGGATTTTATATCCTTCATCCTGGAGGACTCCAGCAAGTTCTAAGAAGAGTTTTAATGGCGACATCATAATATATCATTACCTTAGGGCACATCTACACAGCAGGTCTAAAGCTCCAATAAACTGTGCAACTTGAGCTACATCGATTGTGTAGCTTAAGTCAAAATAGCTTATTTTGGCTTTTGGCGCTGTCTACACAGCAGGAAGTCCAATTTAGAGCATTCTTCCTCCAACTTCCCTTATTCCTTGTAAAATGAGGGTTACAGGAGTCGGAGTAAGAAGTCCTTCAGCTTGACATCATGTCAACATTATTTTGAAATAAATGCTTGATGTGTAGACACGGACTGTGTCATTTCTGAATAGCATCAGTTATTCTGAAATAATCCTGCTGTACAGAAATAGCCTCAAACAGCTGGTCTGGTCTACGTGTCTACATGTCACTCAGGATTGTGAATAATTCTATCTAAGTCCCTAAGTAGACAATGTTAGAGAACTTGTAGGTAAGGTCCCATGGGAAGCAAGACTGAAGGGAAAAACAACTGAGGAGAGTTGGAAGTATTTCAAAGGGACGTTGTTAAGGGCCCAAAAGCAAACAATTCCGCTGTGTAGGAAAGATAGAAAATATGGCAAAAGACCAGCTTGGCTTAACAAGGAGATCTTGCACAATCTCAAAATAAAAAAGGAGTCATATAAAAAATGGAAACTAGGACAAATAACAAAGGATGAATATAGGCAAGCAACACAGGAATGCAGGGGCAAGATTAGAAAGGCAAAGGCACAAAATGAGATCAAACTAGCTACAGGCATAAAGGGAAACAAGAAGACCTTTTATAAATACATTAAAAGCAAGAGGAAGACCAAGGACAGGGTAGGCCCACTGCTCAGTGAGGAGGGAGAAGCAGTAACAGGAAACTTGGAAATGGCGGAGATGCTCAATGACTTCTTTGTTTCGGTCTTCACCGAGAAGTCTGGAGGTGTGCCTAACGTAGTGAATACAAGCAGAGAGAGGGTAAGTTTAGAAGATAGGATACACAAAGAACAAGTTAAAAATCACTTAGGAAAGTTAGATGTCAGCAAGTCACCAGGTCCTGATGAAATGCATCCCAGGATACTCAAGGAGCTGATAGAGGAGGTATCTGAGCCTTTAGCTATGATCTTTGAAAAATCATGGCAGACAGGGGAGATTCCAGAAGACTGGAAAAGGGCAAATATTGTGCCCATCTATAAAAAGGGGAATAAGAACAACCCAGGAAACTACAGACCGGTCAGTTTAACGTCTGTCCCAGGGAAGATAATGGAGCAGGTAATTAAGGAAATCATATGCAAACACTTGGAAGGTAATAAAGTGATAGGGAATAGCCAGCATGGGTTTGTGAAGAACAAGTCATGCCAAACTAATCTGATAGCTTTCTTTGATAAGATAACGAGCCTTGTGGATAAGGGAGAAGCGGTGGATGTCATATACCTAGACTTTAGTAAGGCATTTGATACGGTCTCGCATGATATTCTTATTGATAAACTAGGCAAATATAACTTAGATAGGGCCACGATAAGGTGGGTGCATAATTGGCTGGATAACCGTAGTCAGAGAGTTGTTGTTAACGGTTCTAAATCCTGCTGGAAAGGGATAACAAGTGGAGTTCCTCAAGGGTCTGTTTTGGGACCCATACTGTTCAATATCTTCATCAATGATGTAGATATTGGGATAGAGAGTACGCTTATTAAGTTTGCAGATGATACCAAACTGGGTGGGGTTGCAACTTCTTTGGAGGATAGGGACATAATTCAAAATGACCTTAGCAAGTTAGAGAAATGGTCAGAGGTAAACAGGATGAGGTTTAATAAAGAGAAATGCAAAGTGCTCCACTTAGGAAGGAACAATCAGTTCCATACATACAAGATGGGAAGCGACTGTCTAGGAAGGAGCATGGCAGAAAGGGATCTAGGGGTCATAGTGGACCACAAGTTGAATATGAGTCAACAGTGTGATGCTGTTGCAAAAAAAGCAAATATGATTCTAGGTTGTATCAACAGGTGTGTTGTAAGCAAAACTCGTGAAGTCATTCTGCCGCTCTACTCTGCACTAGTTAGGCCTCAGCTGGAGTACTGTGTCCAGTTCTGGGCGCCACATTTCAAGAAAGATGTGGAGAAATTGGAAAGGGTACAGAGAAGAGCAACAAGAATGATTAAAGGTTTAGAGAACATGACCTATGAAGCCAGGCTTCATGAACTGGGCTTGTTTAGTTTGGAAAAAAGAAGATTAAGGGGGGACATGATAGCGGTTTTCAAATATCTAAAAGGGTGTCACAAGGAGGAAGGAGAAAATTTGTTCCTCTTGGTTTCTGAGGACAGGACAAGGAGTAATGGGCTTAAAGTGCAGCAGGGGAGGTTTAGATTGGACATTAGGAAAAAATTCCTAACTGTCAGGGTGGTCAAATATTGGAATAAATTGCCAAGGGAGGTGGTGGAATCTCCCTCTCTGGAGATATTTAAGAACAGGTTAGATAGACATCTGTCAGGGATGGTGTAGACAGAGCTTGGTCCTGCCTTGAGGGCAGGGGGCTGGACTCGATGACCTCTTGAGGTCCCTTCCAGTCCTATTATTCTATGATTCTATGATGGAAGAATCCTTCAGTCCAACTAGTTACTGCTTCTTGGGGATGGGGGTGGGGTGGTGGAGAACCCCATACTGTCACTGTAGTAAGGTATTTATATTGAAGTTCTGCAGCAGTACCGGTGTGGTGCTGTAGCATTGTAAGTATAGACATTGCCTTAGACTTAATACCTTTCCCTGTGAGGGGCAGAGACCAATTAACTATTCAGGTTCAACTTTGTGGGATTTCACCCTTCAAATTCTTTAAGGAGCTTGCCAAAACTTTTCAGTAAAACGAGGAATGTGGAAAACTGAGATTTGTGATCTATCTTAATGTAAAGGGTAAGGAAAAAAAACAAAATCAGGCCATCTTTTTATATAATAAAAAAGCAGTATAGAACAGATTCAAATTAGTTCACAGTTCACCTGTCAAGGATTGTTAGGAACCATGTTTTACATAATTACTGGGGTTAAAAAATAGGAATGGCTGAACCAATGTAAAAAACAACTACGTTCTCCCAGGGTAGATAAGCCAGGAAAATCATAGATCATGTCTTAGTTGCCTAGTTAGGGTAAAGATTAACCTGTCAGGAACTTCCCTAATACACAATTGTTATGTGAGCACAATAAAATAGTGACAAGTGAATTGTACAGTTATGACAAAGTAATGCATATAATTTTATAGTAACAATTCAGTAAGTATATGTTAATACTTCTGAAAATACAAGATAAATTATATGGCCACTAAAGTGATCCCTAATAACTTCAATCTGGTGTCACAATGCAAAATTCATCTTTGCAGATCTCTAGCAAAAGGACTTCATAAATCCCAGATTAATACTCAAAATAGGGATTAAGCGAGGCTTGAATTGAGTAAAAACTTTTTGCTGGATCTTTCCATGGGATGAATGCAGTCTATTTCAGCGCATATGAATAAAATTTCCACAATAAACATTGAAATGAGAAGGCTGTGCAATTAAGGTTGTTCTTAAATACAGGCTATTTCAAATTATGCTTTTATGCAACTGTGTATTAACACAGTACGGGTTTGCTCTAGCAATGCGTACATAAGCGAAACATCCAAGTCTGCTGCATTTTAAGTTGATCTGTTACTCTTTCTTTATAGTTCCTACTTTAGATACAACACGCACTACATGGTTATTAGACCAGATGGTAAAAATCAAACACCCGGTTGTTCTTGTTGGTGAATCTGGTACTTCTAAGACTGCGACTACACAAACATTTCTAAGAAACCTAAACCAAGACACTAATGTATGTACTCCTAGATTCTGTTCTGTTTATAAAACCCATGTCTTCCTCTTCCTCATGTTGTCAAATATTTGCATTTCACTGCAGAAGTAATTGATTTCAGCCATGGGTAAAATAATACCTCCAGTTTAAAAACCTGATTAAGCAACTAGATTTTCACTAGCTGAGCCCTGAAACTCTGCACAGGTCTTAGGCTCTACTTAAGTGCAAGGTCCTGATTCTAAGGCCCTAAGTGAGATCCTTCAAGATCAAAGGCACTGAATTAATGTAATTATTCTTAAATAGAGATTAATTTTTTAATAAAGTAAACGTGTTTATCAAATGACCTTCATAGTGTCTTCTTGAACCCCCAGAATGGTAACTTTGCTCTTCTATGCCAGCTGTATTCTAAGTGAATAGCTATACTAGAATGGTGTTTAATGTACAACTGATGTACTGCATATTTTCATATTATCAAATATAAAGAACATTGTCTAAAAAGTGCTACTTTAAATTTTTTTTAAAAGATTGATCAAATGTTCTTTCTGTGTAGGTGTTGCTAATAATTAACTTCTCTTCTCGTACAACATCAATGGATATTCAAAGAAACTTAGAAGCAAATGTAGAGAAACGTACAAAGGATACTTATGGACCTCCTATGGGAAAGCGCCTCCTGGTTTTCATGGATGATATGAACATGCCAAGGGTAAGCTGCCAACCTGCTTTCAATATAACATAAGAAGCTGCAGGCTGCATTCTTGTGGTCCGTCCAGGCTCAGGCTGTCAAACGATTAAAAAAATTAATCGTGCGATTAATCACGCTATTAAACAATAATAAGAACACTATATATTTAAATATTTATGGATGTTTTCTACATCTTCAAATATATTGATTTCAGTTAGGGCTATCAATTACTGTAATGTGTGCTAACGCCTGTGATTAACATAGGGAAGAATTAACTCATTAAAAAAATTAACGTGCATTAATTGCAGGCGTTTCTGTGCGGTCCTACCCCTTTGAAATGCCACAATGGTGTTTCAAAGGGGCAGTGCAACGTGGAGTCCGGGGGTCAGCTGGAGTCCCCAGCTGACTTCAAGCTCAGTGCAGCACTGCCCTTTGAAATGCTGCAGAAATGTTTCAAAAGGGCAGAGCTGCACAGAAACACCTGCGATTAACTCACATTAATTTTTTTAACACGTTAATTCTGCCCTGTGTTAATTGCAGACGCTATTGTATTAATTGGCAGCCCTAATTATAACACTTGGGCCTCAGCTTTGTACCTTCCAATATCTAAGGTTTGGATCTTTGAACACTCTGGCATGTTTCAGTGCAACTACAGTATCACTCAGTCTTTAAAAATGTATATTTTTTGGTGGTTAGGCTGCTATCCTGGGGTCACTCTATCTATAGTCAAACTAGGCAGCTGCCTAGGGCTCTCATGACAGAGGTATGGGTGCACCAAATTTGAGTGAAATTGTGATTCAGTGTGCAAGCTTGCAATGTCACTTACTCAAATTTGGCACTACCTCCTTTGCATTAGGACAGAAGAGTTGCTGGGTTGAATTTGACTGGTGTGACCCAGTTTGCCAAGTTGCAATGCCACTCACCCAAATTTGGCCTAGCAAGCCTTTCATCATGACAAAGATATGGCTGGACCTAATCTGCTACTCTAGGCCTGTAAGGAGGGGAGTATTCTGCTGAAGTTTTGCCTATAATGTCTTGAATCACTTCTTTTGACATCAGGATCCTCCTTTCTTCATGCCCTTAAAATGACTGTCACACACTGATCCTTCCTCTGGCTGACATCATTGAGATGTGATTTCCTTGGAATCCATCCATATCTTTCCAAAAGCTGATCATGGATGTATAAGTGTGTCACTCATCAGCAACAAAAGGTGCTTTCCCTGCCTGAGCCAATCAGAATAAGAGAGGAGAATCAATCCCCAAAGCCTTATGTCACTTAGACATTATGTTGTATTGAATGTGGACCCAATGACTTCCTGTTGCAGGTGGTTCCAGGCAGCTCAGCCATGCTATGATTACAATGTATTGGCTCTTTTGTTTTATAAAGGTTGATGAATATGGCACACAGCAACCAATTGCCTTGTTGAAGTTGCTTTTGGAAAAAGGTTCCTTATATGACCGTGGCAAGGAGATGACTTGTAAGAGTCTTCGAGATCTTGGCTTTATTGCTGCCATGGGCAAAGCTGGAGGAGGTCGTAATGAAGTTGATCCTCGATTCATTTCGCTCTTCAGTGTTTTCAATGTACCTTTTCCTTCTGAGGTGTCTTTGCATTTGATTTATGCCTCCATTCTGAAGGGTCATACTAAGGTAATTTGAATTTATTTGAGGCTTAATAGGATTGTTATTTATAAATAGAATTTTATCTTTCATGAAACTACAGAACTTAAATGTGTTTCTTTTAGTGATTTCCTTTCTTCCTTGTTTGCATCCAATCTGTATCTTACAGCTTAGTTTCTGAGGTGTCTTTGCATTTGATTTATGCCTCCATTCTGAAGGGTCATACTAAGGTAATTTGAATTTATTTGAGGCTTAATAGGATTGTTATTTATAAATAGAATTTTATCTTTCATGAAACTACAGAACTTAAATGTGTTTCTTTTAGTGATTTCCTTTCTTCCTTGTTTGCATCCAATCTGTATCTTACAGCTTAGTGACTGGGAGGAGGGGGGAAGTAGAGCAATGCAGCCCCAGCTTGCTCTGCTCCTCTGGCTGCATTGCTATGCTTCTTACTGGTGAATGTGGGGTTGGGCTGAAGGTGGCGGTTCTGCTCACTTCCTGAGCAATGAAGCTGGAGGAGTGGTGTGATCTAGGGCCATGTTTCTCTGCTTGCCTCAATACTGCCAGTGAGTGCAGGGAGGCTGCACCCCTGCTGTGGGCACCAAACTTTTCCCTCCACTAGTCCCTCTGCTGGCCCCTTGCCTCTCCTGTCCACAATGTTTGGGGGACCCATGACTCCTTACAGCCCTATGTTACCTATGGGCACTCAGATTCTTTTCTTGGCCTTCCTTTAAGTTGGGAGAGAATCATGCATTTATTCAAGGAAATAATTTGGATCCAAATAGAGAATAACTTCCTTAGGAAGTCAAGTAACAAACAGTAATGCCATGCTTCAGACTGGAATTGTTGCAATCCTGCTACTAAGAGATTTTAGACAAGAGATGATGATTCTTGTCCCCAGATGCATTGAAATCAATGGAAGTCTTTCTGTTGACTTCAGTGGAGATTTTGAATCAGCTCCTACATTGCTGCTGACAAACAGTTTTGCATATCATTTTTACATCTCCACATTCTGATTCATTTTATAAACTTATACACTGTTCTCTTCTCCTTTCACTTTTCTTTCCCTTTTCCATAGCTTTTAAAATGTAGTTGTAAGTCTTCAAATAGTATAAATACAGAAGCAGCAAGAAAGAGCAGCCATATGCAGGGAGTCAGCTTAAAAGCCAGCTCCCTGCATGCACTGGCTCTTGGGGAGTTGCCTGCTGCCCCATGCTGCTGCCTCTGTATCAGAGGCAGCAGCTGCTTCCCAATGAGCAAAGTGGCAGGGAGGAGCCAGTGCACACAAGTTGCCAATGAGCTAGCTGCTGCCCTACATGTAATCATATATCTGATGAAATGTTCAGCAGTTACACAGTTAATCAATTATATGCATTTTAACATCCCTATTTCTCCTGTGGGCCAAAGCTGTTATGGCAAGAGAAGACTTGGGTTATCCTCTCTGCCCAGGGCAGCTTGTGTATTGAACCCTCCAGCCCCATCCCAGAGTAATGATTTAAATGAAGAAAAAGCTTATTTGAGTTAAGGACCCAATGAATGTCCTGTAGATATTCTAGTTCTCTATATAGTAAGTATTTGTTGTTGCTGTTCAATAAAGTTTGTTAATAAAAAATTAATGAAGAGGGATCATCTTGTGTTGAATTGCTACATACTGAGCAATAGACTATTCAGCCAGAAGATAATTTGTAAATTAATGTTTTTCATAGAAATCTATAGCCAGCTGTAAATGCACAAAGATCTATAAAATTTTGAATTGAAACACAGAAAATTAAATATAATGTATTAAAATTGCATCACTGAGCACATGAAATTGTAATTTTATATGTGAGACATTTATTATCCATATTGCAGTAGTGTCTGGGATCACCAATCATGGGACCAGAATTCCATTGCGCTAGGTGCTGTACAAACATAGAACAAAAAGATGGTCCCTGCAAAGAGCTTACCATATAAACAATGAAATAGCCAGACTGAGTGTAAGAAACAGCCATTATAGTATACACTTACATTCTGGAAAACATTTTATCTTGCCAGGAGTTATTTTAAATCTATCAGTTAAGGGTAGAAAAGTAGGAAAGCGGAGTATATTTGATAAATCATATTTCTCCTGATCAGTCTCAAGAAGAAGTGTTTCCTTTCTCGTGTTTGCAGACTTTTAATGACTCAATAGCAGCGATTACTGACAAGATGACGTTCTGTACTTTGGAACTGTACAAAGCCATAGTTCGGGACCTACCCCCAACTCCTTCCAAATTTCATTATATTTTTAATTTGCGAGATCTCTCCAGGGTCTACAATGGGCTTGTTCTTACAACACCAGAGAGGTAAGTGGAGAAAAAACGTTTAGAAAAATTCACTTAACTGGAACTACACTCATTTGTGATCTGGCCCAATGTAAGGCAATTTTGTTATTTTAAAAACAGCAATATTTGGCAGTCTCATAAATCTGAGGTAGCTTTTCTCCTGCAGCTAAGCTGTATATAAGTGCTGGGCATCAGGGAGTCAGAGATACCTTCCTGATTGTAAGGGGCAGTCTGGCGTATTCTCAACTGTGGGGTGAATTAGAGACATGTAAGAGCTTTTCTGATTTTCTTCCAGCAAGACATAGTCCCTAAAGAACCATATGCCACCTAAGAGTCAGTGTGCTCTGATACACCATCTTCTTTTCCAGACTCCCTTCCTGCCCAGATAAAAGGGGGCACTTGGTGCAGGCATCTGGTCTGCCAAATTTATCCAAGTTGAAGTGTTGAAGAACTTCGCTCTAGCATAATTCTCAGCTGTTCAACAAAGACCTGTTTAAGATTGACGTATAAGTCAATCTATGTCAATATGCCTTTACCTAGCTGTGGCATAGATTAGCAATGTTCTGTGAGTACTTACTTTCAGCTACCTGGCTTTTGTTATGCCACAGCTTTGCTCTTAATTTTGATTGTAGTGCCCTTTTGCCTAAGTTGCTTCATATTGCTCTGAATAAATTAATAGTTTATCTTATTATCCACCTGTCCTCCATTGTATAGAACATAGCAGTGTTAATGGAGTCATTAACAAATGCCTATAAAGCATCTTTAATATTGGAAACTCTTTTTTCTCCTATCTCATTAAGTGTTGGTGCTTTATCTATACTATTATAACAGGAGAAGTGTCCATCACAGTGTCTGTCTCAGACAACATTGCAGAATACACTGAATGACTTCCTCCTTGCCCTCGCCCCCCATCCCTCCCCACACCAGAGCGGGATGCGAGGCTTGAAAAGCAGCCCAAAAGGGCATGCAGGAGAAAAAGGCAAGGGGCAGGGCTCAGTAAGTGGCCAGCAGGTGCAGTGGGGAGGTGGTGGTGGTATTATGCAGACCTGTGCCCACTGGGGCAGGCAGCTCATGGGCTGGGGCCTGTGCTTCTCCTGCACCCTGGGTGCAGGTAGAGACAGTGTGGGCAGCAGAGCCCAGCAGGAGGCAGCACCCCATGATCCATCATGCAGCTGGTGCCATGGCACAATGACTTCTCCGAGTGACACATTGGGCATGGGGAAAAAGAAAAGTAGTATATGCAGTGGGCCTGGCAGTAAGTCCCTGTCTGCTGCACTCTACCTATGCCTCCCTTGGTCCCCCAAGCTGGTGCCCCGTGGATCTTCCTGAACCCTCCCCTCTCCCGTTCCTGCCCTCTGTGCCTCCTGTGCTTCTGGCTCACCCGCCCCACCTCACCACCTCATCCTCCTGTCTCTGCTGCCCCTCAGTCCGCTGCCCCATAGCTGTGAGGCAGGGCTCAGCTAGTCTTTAATAATTAAGGCCCTGATTCAGCAGTACAACACAATTCAGCAAAGTAGTTAAGCACAAAACTTTAGTTCTGTATATCAGTCAATAGGGTTTTAGCACGTGCATGTGCTTTGTTGACTAGGACAAATTGAAGCATATGCTTAAAAGTTTTGCTGAAATAATCAGTGACTGAGCTATGTGTAAATATATATTGGTCTCTTTTTTTTCAAGGAGACACTAAAAAAGCAGTGCATAGATACAGTTGTCTCTGTTTTGCCTTTTGTTGTATATATGCCATTTTGTGGGGAGGGGTGGGAAGAAATTTGGAAAATCCTGAATTGTGATACTGTTCCTTGTGACAAACACTGTAAAATAGGATCTCTGGAGATAGTTACTCTTTTCAGTGAAAAAGGAAACAAAATCTGATTTGGTAACGGTGCTATTAAAACATATGACCTTATCTGATTTGTCCACTGATAACTTCGATATAGGTTCCAAACAGTCACACAGATGGTGCGAGTCTGGAGAAATGAGTGCCTGAGAGTTTTCCATGACAGATTGATCAATGAAGTAGACAAAATACTGGTGAGTAACTTTTCCGATTGGTTAGTAATCACTTATATGAATATGGAAATTCTTACAAAACTGTAATGCTAATAACTGTTCCACTATAATCTTGAAATCAAACTGTGGATTTGATTCACCATTGCATCACTCCAGTTTTACAGTGGAATTGATTTACATATAACCTACTGATGTTAATACCATGAGAAAGGTTTAGCAATTGGTTACAACAGAATAAACCCACAGATGGAGGAAAGGTCATTTAATGAGAGCCCTGCGTGGATACAGAATTTGTATCTGCAAAAATGAGCCACAGATACCCACATTGAATCCATGGATGTGGATACCTGAGGCTAAAAAGCAAATATCCCCAAATTTGAAGGGCTCTAGATAAAAAATCTGTATCTGGGTGCATATCTGCAAAAACGAACTGGCGATGTGGATGCAGATCTGTGTATATAAAGCAGATATCTGCAGACTTGCAGAGCTCTACATATAATCTGTGATATTACTGTGTTATTACAAACTTGTGAGCTTTCAGACATCAGATCTATCAAAAAGCACTGAAAAGCTGAATGAGATGCTGCATATGTCTTAGGCTTCAAACGCTATGAACTATTCATGCATCTACAAGAGGTCATCCTCAATGATCTTCTGGGCCTAAACTTTATAACTGTATGCTTCATTGGCATGGTTACCACCGTCTCAAATTAGCTGTGCAGTATCGAGTCCTGAAGTTTACCTGTCTCAAGCATGTGAGTTTTACCTGATTAAGTATTAGCATCAGCCCCTCAGCTAAACTGGTGAAAATCAGTGTTAAAACAATGAAGTTAGGCAGCTATACATTAGTAAGACTTAAGAATTTGGCCCAATGGAGGAAGTTTTGTCTCTGCAAAGGCTGCTGGATGTGGGGAGCTCACAATTTCTTGTGTAGTACCATAAAATACTTGAATAAGAAAAAACATTTGTAATGTGCTAAATCTCTTTAAAGTTTGTTACATTTGCATCCAGTACTATATAATGTATGTGTGGATAAATGCATTTATATTTATGTGCTGTATGAAATATGCATCTACATTCTGTATTAAAGAGAGAACAAAGTCTTGGTGACACTGGTGGAATGATATCAGAACTAACTATAAGAGTAAAAGGTAGTATGTGATTTTACCAGAATAAAGATATTGATTTTATACTGAGCATAATCTTCTCTCTGTTAAAGCTGTTCAGCTCTTTGGCATCAAAAGTCCTTGGGCAATTGGGCTGCTTGTATATAAACTATATGCCACTTAGTTTTAGAGGATAAATATACAATGTTAGTAGAGTCTATATCTGCAGATGTTGTATTTATGCCAGTCCCATTAAAATCAATCAAATAGTTACTGGGTAAAAGTTTGCAGGATCAGGCCCTTTGAGTGTTCCTGCATTCAGAACACTTAGCATCATTTTACCTATTTGCACTTATATACTTTAAGGTACAAGGGCATATACAAGGCTTGATTCAAGAGCATTTCAAAGATGATTTAGAGCAGGCCATGAGAGACCCTATTCTTTTTGGAGACTTCAGAATGGCACTGAATGAAGGGGAACCTCGTGTCTATGAGGACATACAGGACTATGATGCAGCAAAAGCTCTCTTTCAGGTATAGTGCTTTATAGGGGCACCATTTCAGATTTTGGTGGGAGGGACAGACCTGTGCATGTCATGATGGTGTGGACTGAGGACAGTGGGTTCAGGAGTGTTACTGAGCCTGCTCAGTCAAGCCGGGGAGGAGAGAACCACCCCCATCCACCCTCACCCCCACACACATCATCTCTATACAGGAAAGGCACAGGAAAACTCTAGTTTTTTTTGGCAGACACCTTAGCAGTTAGCTGACAGTAGCACTGTATCTAATTCTGATATAAAAGAAAGAAAATTAAATAAATATTAGACCCACTCAGCTCGAACAGCTTGTGTCCACAAAAGCTCATACCACCATCTACATGTTTTGTTAGTCTTTAAGATGCTGTTAGACTATTCATTGTTTTTTAAGTTTTTCCAGTTACAGACTAACTTGGCTATCCCTCTGAATATTGTGGCAAGTCACTTAAGGGACACTGGTTAGTCTTAACATTTTAACGTATATTCTTACTTTGTTACTAACTCTGTGGGGAGAGAGAGAGAGAGATCCCATCAGGACTCTTGGGCTCTATCTCAGTTCTGGAAGAGGAATGGGGTCTAGTGGGTTACAGCAAGGGAACAGATACATTTCAGTTCTACATAAGAAGATTCAAATGGCCATATTGGGTCAGATGAAAGGTCCTTCTAGCCCAGTATCCTGTTTTCCAACAGTGGCCATTATCAGGCGCTTCAGAAGAAATGAATAGAAGAGGCAATCATCATGATCTATCCCCTGGTTCCCATTCCTACCTGCTTGCAAAGAGAATCTAAGCACACCATCCTTGGCTAGTATCATTGATGGACCTATCCTCCTTGAATTTATTTTGTTCTTACTGGAACCCTGTTATGGCTTGAGCCTTTCCACCATCTCCTGGCAAAGAGTTCCACAAGTTGATTCTGAAAAAAAATATTTTATTTGTTTTAAATCTGTTACCTAAAAACTGGATTGGGTTGGCTTCTTATGTTATGTTAGTGAAAGAATAAACAACATTTCCTCATTCAATTTTTCCATGCCAATCATGATTTTCTAGTCAGCTAATATATTTTACTCCAATCATTTCAGTTGCCCTTTCTGTACCTTTTCCAAATACAATTTATCTTTTTTAGATGGGGTAATCAGATCTGCATACAGTATTCATGATGTGGTCATACAAATGTCTTTAAGTAGAGGGTATATGGTATTTTGTCTTATTATCTGTTACTTTCCTAACGATTCCCAATATTCTGTTAGCTGTTTCAGTTTTTAGACTTCTGCTGCACATTGAAAAGATGTTTTCCAGGAGCTATCCACAATGATTCCAACATCTCTTTCTTGATTGGTAACAGCTATTTTGTATCTATAGTTAGGTTTATATTCTTCCACATGCATTACTTTGCACTTATCAACACTGAATTTCATCTGCTCTTGTGTTGCCCAGTCACCCAGTTTTGTGAAATCCCTTTATAACTCTGTGAAGTCAGCCTTGGATTAGTCCCTGTTCACCCCCTTTTCAGCAGCATTTGTAAATTCAATACAAACTTGCAGATCTTAGCAGCACAACACTTATTCCTACTCTTCCTCCCTATTTTTCAAATGGAGTACCTGGCAATGTTTTCATGATGGTCTAACGTTCCTTTAATGACTTGAATGTCCATCCTTTTCTTATTCTTAATCACCTGCATCTCTCTTTTCATAACAAACATTCTGCTCCGAAGGCAAAACTGCAAGCAGCTCAAACTCTGTTGCATTTAAGAACTACCTTTGGAGTCAGGGCATGCAGATTTAAGCAGACCTCAAGTATGAAATCCAGGAGTCTAAATTTCAGAGGGAGGGCTACTGCCCTCCTATTTCCCAATATATGGTGTCTTTGGTGCTTTAACCAGCATCTGGGTGAGTCTGTCTGTGTGAAATAATAGGGTCTGTCTAAGCTGCAATTAAAAACCCATGCGTGCCTGGGCCAATTGATTTGTGTTTGTGAGGCTGTTTAATTGTGTTGTAGAGATTTGGGTTCAAGTTTGGAGCCCGGGCTCTTGCACCCTGAGAGGTGGGAGGGCCCCAGAGCTTGGGCTTCAGTCTGAGCCCAAATAGGTGCAACACAGTTAAACAGTTCCTTGGCCCAAGCCCTCTGAGCCCCAGACAGTTGGCACAGAACAGATTGAAGACATATTTAATAACAGTTTGCCCTTCAGGTGTGTATGGTTATTAACATAAAAGGATTGACTAGATGACCTCGAGGTTGCTCCAATGTCTACATTGCTATGATTCCATGAAACCTATGCTACATTCATACTTTGACAATTTTCCAGACTAAAATCTACACAAAATAATGGGGTTTTCTTTTTTTTAAGGGACACTGTCAGCAAGTCTCTTAAAAAACAAGAGTCACATTTCAGTCTGAATTTTTCCACCTTTTGTGACAAATAATAGCTGGGAGGACTCAAACTGAAAAAGATTAGAAAGAAAGAAGCATTTTCCTTTATTTTATCATTTTGTTTACTTTGTGTAAATAAAAGTGCTTTGCAGATAGCTAATTGAGTTTTAGTTTTCCCTGTTTGTGTTTTTCTTTCACATAGTAAAAAAGGAGAGAAAAACATTTTACAAATAGGAAAAAAATGATTGTAAAGCAAGAAAAAATGATAGGGGATTTCTAGATGAGTGTTTTGGATTAGATTATAAACAGGTTTATCCAAGAGATTGAAACATTTTCAAAGTAAATAAATAGTGTCCCTTTTTCACAATATTCCAGTGCAGGCTTTTGTTTTTCTTTGTGAGAAATAAACTTGTAGAAAAACATTTTACAAATAGGAAAAAAATGATTGTAAAGCAAGAAAAAATGATAGGGGATTTCTAGATGAGTGTTTTGGATTAGATTATAAACAGGTTTATCCAAGAGATTGAAACATTTTCAAAGTAAATAAATAGTGTCCCTTTTTCACAATATTCCAGTGCAGGCTTTTGTTTTTCTTTGTGAGAAATAAACTTGTTTTGAATCATTAAGGAAGCTCTTTGCCCCTTGTTAGGTACATATAGTTTCTATGTATAGTAAGGTTGGGTATGAATACTAGAAATCAGTGAACATCTATTTATTCCATGAGAAATCCTAAATACTATAAATTTTCTGATAATCAACTTTTTCTCAGAATTCTTTTGAGTAATAATGCTTCTAATAAATTATTACATTCTGTTTGTTTACTAACCTTTTCAGCATTTCCCATTTCTGTTGGTAACTGTCTAAACAATTGTCTTTACAGGAGATTCTTGAAGAGTACAATGAAGTTAATACAAAAATGAACCTGGTGCTTTTTGATGATGCCCTGGAGCATTTAACCCGTGTGCATCGCATCATACGGATGGATCGTGGCCATGCCCTGCTTGTAGGAGTGGGAGGCTCAGGAAAACAGTCCCTTGCAAGACTGGCCGCATATACAGCTGGATGTGAGGTATCTGGGAGAGATTGAAAGTATTTCCTGATTAGCAAGCACTGCAAAATCAAAAATGTGCCTTTGCCTGAGTCACCAGAATAATGTAGCTTTTAAAATGGCGGGTGGCCCCTAACTGTGTAGAACCTTGAGGGGTCTCAGAAATTAAACCTGATACAGACAATGAAAGAAAGCAAGTGATGTCAAAATTAGGGTAGTAGCTGCTTTCTGGAGAGATTGAAAGGGGGTGGAGTGAGCATTCAAAGGTCAGAGATAGGAGGTTGAAGTGACTTGGCATGGAAGATTGTGAGTCCTTGTAACTGGGTACTTAAGGCTGTGAGCAGAGAGTACAGGGTGGGTTTTGGAGATCTAAGTGAAAAATCAGTAGTCTTTAAGTACTACTACTGTTATTTATCTTTAGTGCAGTAGTTCTCGGACACACAAGCGAGGCCTCATTGTGCCCAGTGACATACAAACATCCAAATAAGATGGTGGGGAACAAAGGAAAGAGAGAAGTCCAGAATGATTTTGAGGTTCTGAGCCTAGAGGATTGGAACAGTTTAAAGAGAATACAGAGGAGTAAATATTTTGTCACCATTTTACTTTCACATTATATCTGTACTAGTTATAAGACCAAACCAGAACCCCAGGGAAGTTGAGTTCCTTGTTGTGGGTCCATCTTTCAACATTCTGTGTCTTTCAAATATATTTTATGTTGCATTATTAGGTGTTTGAAATTGTTCTGAGTCGAGGATATGGAGAAAACAATTTCCGTGAAGACTTGAAAACATTGTATATAAAGCTTGGTATTGAGAACAAGGCCATGATTTTCCTGTTTACAGATGCCCATGTGGCAGAAGAAGGTTTTCTGGAACTCATCAACAATATGTTAACTTCAGGTGATGCAGAAAGACTACAAGTATTTCCTGATTAGCAAGCAATGCAAAATCAAAAATGTGCCTTTGCCTGAGTCACCAGAATAATGTAGTTTTTAAATATTAATGTTTCTCATTCATACTGTTTCCTCTGGTGCAGGAATTCATGTTTGAACCTGAGGACAAAAACACTGGTGCTTTAATTGAAATAACCATGGCTGTTCAATAAGCATAAACTTATTGAACAGGTAGTGGGATAAAGTTTGGGTAACTGGAAGGTGTGTGGGGGGTGGCCCTCCAGTTTGAGGAGCTGTCATTTGTGGGCAAATCTATTGGACAGAGGTGTGGTCATTGTTGTGCCAAAGTAAAGGAGACTCATTAGCCAGAGAGTGGTAAAGGGGAAGCTACCGCTTCCCTCCTCCGTTAATGCCTCTATCTCAAAAGCCAGTTCCTCCACAGCACTGTCTTCAGGGGCAGAGGAGGCAATAGCACAGCAGGGAAATGGTGAGCCCACGTTCTGACTGTGGTGCTTCTGCCTTTGAAATGCTATATTCTTCTTCGAGCAGTGTCCCGTGGGTGCTCCACGGCAGATGTTGGCTTGTCTCGGCGCCACAGATCGGAGATCTTTCTAGCCGTAGTCTGCCGGATCACGCATGAGCGAAGTACAGCTCCCCGGGTTTCGTGCGCTGGTCCGGCTCCCGCCAGTTCCTCCTGACCATCCTCGGCTGCGGACGGAATATTGTCTCTCTGGTGACTACTGTTTCCTACAAAGACAGAGAGACTTTATATGTTATTGTATATAATTCCTATATAGAGTTCCAAGTTATAGTTTACCCTAGTCGTTAGTCAAAAAAAAAAACCAAAACACAACAGTTTTACTTCAATAGTTAATTAGTCATCCCAATGCCGGGCTTTAAGAAATGCAGCGAATGCCACGAGGCAATGCCTGCCTCTGATGGCCACGCTTTATGCATTAGGTGCCTCGGGGAAGGACATATTCCCCAAAAATGTCCCCACTGCTCCAAACTAACAGCTAGAGCTAGACGGGACAGGGACATGCGCCTAAAAGTCCTTCTGTTCGACAAAGCCCTACAACCGGACGTCCAGCAGTCAAAAGGACACTTGGAACAACCCAAGAAACTTAAAAGAAAACCGTCTCCGACACGGTCCCTCCCACCCTCAAGATCGGCTGACGATCAACCAGGGACGTCTACGGCACCGCCCGCGAAAGTAGCGAGGCCGCCGAAAGACAGCCGGAGTAAGTCAGCCCCGAGCCCTTCTATATCGGGCTCGACCATATCAGCCGTTCCCTCGGTCTCTAGGCCGCCTACGGCTCTGAGAACCGCTCCTGGCACCGAGCGTCCCCCGGCACCGGTCCGTTCCCCGGCGCCAAGATGCAGCCGTTCCCCGGCACCGAGACGCAGACATGTCTCAGCACAGGCGCTCACCAACGGTGCGACGGCCTTCTCCCCTCCAGACATCTCGGGAGCACAGTCAATCACCGGTGCCGAGTCGATCAGCGACGCTGACGGGGCCCACCTCGGCACGGATTCCTCCAATGCCAGTAGAAGTGATTCCGCATTCAGTCATCTCTACCCCGGCATCTTATACATGGTGGTTTTTTAAAACAAATGTGAGGGCCAATGAAGGGGGAAGTGGTATTTTACTGAAAATGTAGATTTCTGAGGCAGAACTGACGGATCTGTTTGGTTTTGGGGAACTATTGACACACTTACTATTTCACATTTTGTAAATCTGGAGTGGTGTGGAGTCCTTGGTTTTGGTAACACAAATGATCACCCAGACTGTAGCTTGATCCTGTGGTGTTGGTTTTTTGAATTTTATGGTAATAGAAATTTTTGTAAGTCCAAAGTGGATGGTTTCCTTTCTTGCCCAGCTAGAAGTAGCATTTTACTATGAAGTAGAATTGTGTGGAATGTACAAAGGGACTTTTCACATTATGGCTAAAATGTATGTATTGGATATTTCAGAAGTTTCTCAGTATACTGTAGCTGTCATAATCTGCTTTACTCTTCTAAATGGGCAGCGTCAGGTATTTAATAAGTTTGTCATTTCTTTTTATGAAGTGGATCAAAAAGCTTCATTTTGAGCTTGATTGTAGTAGATCTTTGAAAAGTGGAATTTCATTTTAGGAATAATTTGAGCTATTGCTCCAAAACAACTCAAACCCTAGTATTTGCCATATAAGAAATTCTGCTCTCCTGATGTATTAAAAATCACTGCTGGTGAAAGTAAAAACACAACAAGTTAAACTACTTTTTATCTGAAAACATCAGAGCTATCCTATGGAATTTCTCCACTTGAGGTAGATAATGATTATCCTTCATAGGACACACTATTAATTGAGGTATTTACCATTTAAATGACTGAGACAAAATATGAAGATTTTCCTTGAGTTTCAGCATATAGGGAATTACAGGAAGAATCCTGCCCATGAAATGGGTGGTGTAGGGTGGGGTTTTCGGGTGTTAAATTTTAATTAATTGCAATTTGCATTGACTATTTGATTAATCGATAAGGGCGCTTCGACCTTTCAAGTGTAGCAACAGCTCCAGGGATGTTGCTACATTTCAAAGGTGAAAGCGCTATGGGGAGCATGGGGCCAGCAGGGCACTCAAGCAGTCCCCTGTTGGTCCTAAACTCCCTGCAGCATTTCAAAGCTGCAGCAGCATTTCAAAGCTGCAGCACCACACGGAATCCGGGGTCGATAACTACACCAAGCTTGTACCTTTGCTCCAGCACATTCCAGAGTCAAAGCGGGACATCCTAAAGGCTGTGATAAAAGAGGGCTACGCAGCCTCAGGAACAGCCTTACATATTGCTCTGGACACAGCCGACGCAGCAGCACGCACAACAGCCACATCAGTCGTTATGCGCAGAGCATCCTGGCTGCAACAGTCTTCTGCTCCCAAGGACCTGTTTTCAAAGGTCGAGGACTTACCTTTCGACAGACAGAACCTCTTCTCCGAGAAGGCTGACCAACTCCTACACTCGGGGAAGGATTCCAGAACCACTCTGAAAACGCTCGGAATGTACACCCCTCCATACCGCAAAAAGCGATATATGACCTACCAGAAACAGAGGCCCCCCTTCCAGCAATCCCCTCAGTATAGACCTCAAGACCAACAGAGGGGTAGGCAGCGGCAACAATGCAGACGCCCGCCACCCAAAACGACTTCCCAACAGGGTACCAGGCAGCAAGTTTGACGCGTCCCTCGAGGGGTTGAGAACCATTCCCGTCAATACCATTCCGAGTGCTTCGAAGGCGATATTTCATCACCGCCTCAGACTGTACCTCCATCGATGGGCCTACATCACCACCGACAAATGGGTCCTC